TTCAAGCGTGCAGACCCTGAATTGGGACACAGCTTCAGTCTCTGTGTTTCAGTCAGTCTTTGTCGCGTCGTCTGTGTAACCTTCCCAGTTATGGCTCGTCATAGTCGTCACAGTTCTCATAGTCACAGTCATAGAATTAGTTTTGGAAGTTTCATAGCTTTGTCACAGTTTCATAGTCTCGTATAGTGTCCAGTGTCATAGGTTTTCACAGTCAGTTTAGTTGTCTTGCCAGCACTCGTCTTAGCATTTGTTTTGTCTTCTGTTCAGCCATAATAAAGGCTCACCTTTTGTTACAGTCATGTCACATCTCCTTGTCTGTGTCTGCTCTTGGGTGCTGCTCTAACTAACACACCGGCGCACCGTGCCGTGACAGAGCTTTGGCTAACAAGTATTTTTAGTTTATGCTGTGATTAAGCGTCTGTACATCCATTTCCAATTCATAAAAATTGCAACTTCTTCTAGAGTATTGGTTAGAATTTCATCAAACTTGTTGCTATCCAGATTATCCTCCATATTGTCTCTGAGATTTACAAAGTGGACCATAATTTTTATTAAGTTTGACCCAAATTGAGTGACTGAGCCCATAAACTCAGCAGAAAAGGTGTCAGAAAGCTGTTTTTCTATACAGTTCTATAGGATGACAAGTCTGTATAACCACAGGTGTTGCTCCTTAGAGGCCATTAAATAAATTACAGATTTAAAGCACTTCCACATTGGTTTCACTTTTCAGACCCAGACTCTATGTCCATCTTTTATAATGTTTATGGGGAAAACACAACAGGTCCCCATGCGTGCATGAGATTGTCAGTAGTTGGCAGTTTACGGTTAACTATTATTCCAGGTCTTGCTCAGTTTATCCATTTGTTGAGTTGCAGCAAGAATATGTCTGTGAATTAATTAGGTTACTTTTTCAACACTCATCCCAAAATATTTAGTAGGCAAACTATTTCCTTGGGGCACGTATTTTAATCAGTAGCTATTTTAAAGAAGAGCTTTGTCCAGAAGCAGTTGTGAAGAGATGTGTATTCAATTATATGCAGCGTTCTTAGGGAGTGTTGGCAAATGGGCAGAGAAGCCTGCTAGAGGGGCACTAGTGCGTTTGGAAAAAAAAATCTGTTTGTGTGAGATCAGGCTGTTCCTGTCTTGAATGTGAGTGTTTGTGTGAGCCATGTGGCACGTCACTCAGAGAAGCTGCATCCTTCAGCCCTGCCTGAACAGCGGTGCATCAGGGTAAATGATGCTGTGCCCTTGAAAAGGTCTACGTGATAATCCAAGATAAGTGTGTCTATGTGTGTGAGCAAAGCGGAAATGAGCGTGTGCAAATAGGCTATTTGTGTGTACAAGTTTGTGCGTGTGCGTGTGCGTGTCTAGTCATGCGGCTTGTATGTCAATATGCGGCAAGTCCTGACATTTGACAAATGGAAACCAGCGTATGTTCACAGTGTTTTGTTGATCAATATTTTGTCAATAGACTAATCAATTAAGCAACTAATTATTGGCACTGAGAGTATAATTGTGTCTTTGTCCTTTTATTTGTCAGAGCCTGTGCTCGTGCAACTAACTGGGCTTTGGAACGATTTATTTTAAAAAAATATTGAGTCAGTGAATTACACCAGCTTCATGTTTCTCTTCTTTGTGTGATTTGCTTACACTTTCTATTTTAGTTCTTTCTTTATTACCTAACAAAGAGAAGTCGTTCATTTATATGCAAATGTCCTCAAACAGCAAATCTATCCCGAGTCTGCATCAGTGACTGCATTTTTTATTCTTCAGAACATTTACTTGTGTTAAGCATATCTTGTGTACTACATCTAACGATAGCAACAGTCATCTTTTTAACACCGTGGAAATTGAATTGAGCTGAATGACAGGACATTAAATTCCTTAATTAATGTTCAGCATAGGGTGTGTGGTAAATTATTTTTATGAAAGAGCTGTTAAAGCCCCTTGCTCCTGTTGCACTGTGAAAGGAAAATGACTTTAAAGACTGCTATGATAGGAGCATATCAGAGACTTTTTCACTGTGAGAACTGGTGTATTAAAATGATATTGTTCATATGGGGATAATATATTTATTACAATGATCTTAGAAGGCAGCGCATGATATGTATCTCTCTGCATACTTTGTCTTGTGCTGCTGGAGCATGTAAATTAATCTGAACAATACATTCAATATGGAAACAAAATAGAGAGCTGTGGATCAGTGTGTTTAAAGGTCTTGTGTTTATGAGTTTATAACTCAGATCTGATGTTGTAGATGGTATTACACGTCATTTTCAGTTGTAACTGAGCACTGTATGAATGTCATTTTCCCCCCACCAAGTACAATAAAACGGATGCTTAACAAATTTATTAGACCAGCTGTCATAGAACAAGAAAACACAAATATTTTCAAAGAAAGAAATATTCAGAACACAAAATGACAAGGGGTGCAACGATACACAAAATTCACTGTTCGGTTCGGTTCGATACTTTGGTGTCACAGTTCATTGTCATTTATTAAAATTATAAATATATATTTTAACT